GCTCGAGGACGACGGCGAGCGGCAAAGCTTGGCAGACGCGCCGTCGTCTGTGTCGTCGCAAGCCCAGTCGCGGCGCTGCAGCCACAACAGCGGGACCAGCAGCAACGCATGCTCATTGCCAGCCGGCGCAGGCACAGCGCATGATCTCCAGTCCCAGCAGGCCCACTGCACGTCGCAAAAGTCCGTCACCGCCTCCCGGGGGTCCAAGCTGACGCGCAGCAAGCCGGTGGTGGAAGTCGACGCACACCCGGTATCCTTGTTCGGCAAGGAGCGGCGAAAGCGCTTCTTCAAACCCGTCCGACACACGGTCTCGGATCAGTCGCCGCTCCAGCGAAAGCGCGAACGACCGCAATTCCGCTCGGTGGACGCCAGCTACGAGTGGACCGACGACCTGGCCACCTCGCCGCTATGCGTAGCAGAGGTGATGAACGTCGACGATCCTGCCGCCGCCGCACACTCCCGGCACAGACCGGCAATCTCCGAGGAGGGTCCGCCGGCGCGCGTAGCTCAATCGCCGGGCCGTCTGTCATCCAACACGGCGTCGCACAGCACGGGCAGCATCACTAGCGGCCGCTGCACACCGTCCCACGCCACCCCGATCAGCTCGGTCGGCTCTCAGGCCAGCGGTCCAACACTCGGGACCGCCGCGGCGACGGCATCGTGGCAGGTTGCCGCGCCGACAGCATCGACACGACTCTCAGCGGAGTGTCCCGTGCCGCCTCGACTGTCCAGTCCAGTGCACCTGCGCTCTCGGAGTCCGTTGCAACACACTCACACAGAAGAGAAGCCGCCTGCACACCAGTGGCAGCAGCATCCGGAGTGTACTGCCGCTGGCAACGCCGACGCTCCGTGCCCGTTGCCGACGAACAGCCGGAGGGCTTCGCTGGACCAGGCATCATTATGCAAACCCGGTGGTACTACTAGCCCTGCAATCCTGTCCTCGCCATCCTCCTGCACTCTGCCAATGCTCACACGCCAGGATGTGAGCAACAGCGCCAGGCATCATGCGCCTGCTGCAGAAGCTTGCCTCGCGACGGCTCGACCTCGCCTCCAAAAGCAGCAGCAACAGAATACGACATCACAGGAGCAGCAGCAGCAACAGCGGTCGCTAAATCTGAGTCAGCAACAGGAACTAATAGTACGGGCGAAGCACCGCGCCGTTCACAGTGATCTGCGGCAGCTGCCATCGACCATGAGCGATGTTGTAATATCCGACACTCCCTCACAGTCTCCCAGCTTGCGTCGAAAAGAGGGCTGGTATGCATCTAGTGCCACGGATTACAACTCCACGGAGACCCATTTAACTCGTGTTTTATTCACCGGAGACAGTTTCTATTTCAGCAGAGAGCCGCTCGACCCACTGCCGAAGAGCAGTTAGTTGCCCAAATCAGTACCTGCAGCTGGTGGCCAAACTGCTGCTGCCAGGTGTGTGTGTGTGTGCATGTGTGTGTGCGTGCGTGTGTGTGTGTGCGTCTGTGTATGGGTGCAAGCATCCATGAGTGTCCCGTGTCGCTTTCACCCTCCGCTGCTAATTGTTTTGAGACGATATTGACTTGGATAATCCCCAACCCCAGAAGTTGCGATGACCATGGCCGTGATCATCCCCACGGAAGCGACTAGCAGCACGAATAGCCATCATCCGTGCCTGCTTATTGCAAGCTCGTAAGTCAAATATAGAAGCCTTGTTTTAGCTCTACTTGTGCACTCCTGTGTACCCTAACGTTAATGCCCCGTCGCCTCAATAGCGCCGCCTTTTTTAGTCGTGTTCCTCAGAGATGGGGCTTTGATAGATCTTGTTCCATTCTAATAATGTTTTTAAATCCCGTCCGCTGCTTGGCCTTTCATACCAGCACAGTCATCTTTCTAGCAAGAAGTGTGCGCTCAACATGCAAACTCATACCGTCTTGTTTTCTATGCTTTATCGTCTCCGGCAAGTCTGCTTTTCATACACATGATGTGTGCTCTTTCCTCTTTCCTCTCTCCTTTTCTCTGTCTCTCTGTCTCTTTCTCTCTCCCTCTCTCTCTCTCTCTCTCTCTCTCTCTCTCTCTCTCTCTCTCTCTCTCTCTCTCTCTCACTCACTCACTCACTCACTTTCTCACTTTTTCACTGTCTCTCTCTCGGTCTCACACACACACACACATACTCTCTCTCTCTCTCTCTCTCTCTCTCTCTCTCTCTCTCTCTCTCTCTCTCTCTCTCTCTCTCTCTCTCTCTCTCTCACTTACTCTTTCCATCTTTGCATCCCATAGTCCGCGCACTCACTGCCTCTCATCCGTCCTTTCTAAAGCACATGCCAATTCTCACGCATGTTTAGTCACCCATCTCGGGCATCACCGTGCCCTGCCAAAACGCATTGGCACACCACAGCTGATCCTTTCCTTCCTACTGACCAGGAGTTGCCTTTTCTCATGCGCCGGATTCTTTTCTTTTTTTCTTTTCGATGTCCTTCCTTGCAAGCCGCCATGTTTCCATAACATTTCTACTATCGCTGCTTAGTGCATGCATCTTTTTTTTTTTTAAGTGCACTCGCAATGTGCATGTACATATTATGTGCCTTTTATGGGTACTAGGTTAGTGCTGTAGTCATGCGTGGAAGTCTTGTTTAGAATCTTTTTTATATTTAATACGATCACTGCTCACACGCTCTTTTTTACCAAGTAGATTAGTTCCTACGCCCTCCAACTGTTGAGCACTCTCATTCTCTTCTGTTATTTTTCTATGCGACCGCGATCTCGGCGGATGCCACTCGCTCGCTAGCAGCTCTGTGTGTGTGCGTGCATGTGTGTGTGTGTCTCTCTCTCTCTCCGTCTCTCTGTGTGTCTCTCTCTGTCTCTCTCTCTCTGCCTCTCTCTCTCTCTCTCTCTCTCTCTCTCTCTCTCTCTCTCTCTCTCTCCGTTTGCCTCGTCTCGCGTCACATGTGTGTGTGTGCGTGTATGTGTGCCAGCTAGTTCGGTTGGTTCGTACACTTAGGCCAGGTAGTGTTTGGTCTGTTGCCAAAGTGCTCGGCTGCTTGAAGATGTAATGTTGTACCTGCCACATGTGTTGGTTTCAGGGTTCCTATACTTTAGAAGAGAAAGTCTTTCTATTTGAAGTATGCAAACCTGTTTACCATGGACTACTGCTGGCTAGATAAAACTCTTGCGTAATCAATGTAGCTACAGGGGTGTTGGAAGATATCCAACCTTGCTGTAATGTTACTGCTAGTCTACTTTCCAACGAAGACAAGTCGTGGCACATGAAGTAGAGTAAAAGATAAAACAAAACAATGCAGAGTGCAACGGGTTTCTTGTCTCCTGACTACTGCGGAGTACTTGGTGTACGCACGCATGGAGAAGGACTATGATGCGTTCAGTCACGTGAGAATAATACATAATTATCACTTGGCGTGGCCATGAATGCGTGGAGGGTCCAGGCCAGGGGTACTCTCCCGGGGAAAAATTACGGCGAATTGGTCCCAAATGGCCTTAATAACTCCATTGCATCCCAAGATGAATTGATTGGTGCGGCTTTGTCCCCGTGCTAGTGAAGCTATAAATTATCAGATCTACTCTGATTCAGCCACCCACATTAGTAGCAAGTATTAAAGGGGAAGTATACCCTAAAATCAAATTTTCACCAGTTGTAGTCTTCTGGGTGCTGAGTCGAATGGTCTTGGTCCGAGGAAGCTGCGACGCTCCCTTCCTACTTGAATCCCAATCGAACTCGCGCACTTCAACCGAAACTGGGTGACTGCGCCCTACTAGATGGGGATTTGTATGCAAAATGTCACTAAAAGCGCCATTTCGTTCTTATAAAAGCACGGATGACCGCGATTGGCCCATATGTTGTAGTCTTTTGGACGCTGAGTCGACTGGTTTTGGTCCGAAAAGGCTGCAATGCAGCGTTCCTCCTTTATTCCCAATCGAACATGGTTGAACAAGCGGTCACGTGCTCCTGGGTGCCCAAATCACCTGGTCACCGCGCCAGCAGGCGACAACTTTCACACCAAGGTTCAACTCGAGTTCAACTCGAGTGACAGGACTGCACCCAAAAAAGGTCAAATAGGCTAGTAAGTTGTACCCTGCAGGCACGGTGACCAGCTGACTGGTGTACGCAGGAGCACGTGACCGCTTGTTCAACCATGTTCGATTGGGAATAAAGGAGGAACGCTGCATCGCAGCCTTTTCGGACCAAAACCAGTCGACTCAGCGTCCAAAAGACTACAACATATGGGCCAATCGCGGTCATCCGTGCTTTTATAAGAACGAAATGGCGCTTTTAGTGACATTTTGCATACAAATCCCCATCTAGTAGGGCGCAGTCACCCAGTTTCGGTGGAAGTGCGCGAGTTCGATTGGGATTCAAGTAGGAAGGGAGCGTCGCAGCTTCCTCGGACCAAGACCATTCGACTCAGCACCCAGAAGACTACAACTGGTGAAAATTTGATTTTAGGGTATACTTCCCCTTTAAACAGTTTAAAAATATGTATTCTTGGTATTTCGCACGCGTCGGCATGACGATTTCTACTGAATGCTGTTTGTACGCGATTTTGTACCTAGTGTGGTTCACGTGATGAACCCTGTTGTCTCAGCACTGGCTAGAAATACATGTACAGTACTACATACAGAAGCCTTGCTCAGGAGCACTACGCGTCCTCGCCTTGTAACATGCTGTCAAAATCGAAAAACATGTACAGTAGATCTACTAGCTAGTAGTCCACTGGCTAACGTAAAGGGCCAAACACTGGACTGTGAAATGGTGTAAGTCGCAAACTTGAGTAACGCGAATGGATTTCATTGAGCAGGACTGACAAAACACATGCACAGTGATACATGGCTGCATGCCACAACGTCCACGTGTACGTCTAGACTAAGTGCTTTTGATGAAACACATCGCTTTCAAGCACCGTTGCAACACTGTTCTAGAAGACGCCTGTGCACGTGGCGACCTGTACACTCCATGGTGGCTACGGACTTTGATCACATCACGCTGTGCAGGCCACACAAGTCGCACACAACCATGACAAAACAACACTAGCCATTCGGATGGAGGAACAAAAAAATAAATGATTTTCTGCGTTTACAAGGCAAATAAATTTAAAAAAAACCACATCACAAGACGGGCCGCAGCCAAGAGTGTGCAGAACACGGAGATCAAGACCGCGCGAAAGTCGCAAGCACACGCACGCAACAACACACATGCACGGAGGGTGTGTGCGTGTGTGTGTGTGTGGAATAGAGAAAGAGATATGCTCGCAAGCAAAAACTTAAATAAATCATAATGGTTGGCCACCAAGGGTGATAGTCGTACTGGTACTTCATGTGCAAACTGACGTTGCAGCAGCAGCAGCAACCAGGGAGTAGTACGGTATTGTACTACTCCCTGGCAGCAACAGCATCCTCACGGGAACACTGTAGCATAGTTGAGTCGACAGTAAAATATACTAAATATTGGTGCAGGGTACATGCAGGTGAGCTAAGAGACCAAAGGGGGTGGACTCTACCTCTCCACTCGGGACTGGCATTCTACTATCCCGTTCGAGCAGGACATGCAGCTCCCCGGCGGTGGTGGACTCTACCTCTCCACTCGGGACGCCTGCAGGCCAGGGCAGCACAGACCGAATGCGACGAAGACGCTGCAACGGTGCCACGGGGCCGCGAAGAAGAGGAAGACACATGCTCACCGGCCATGGTAGCCGGACTCGACGTGCAGTTCGATAGTACCACAGACTGTGCGAAACCGGGCGGCATGGCTTGGCCCAAGGATCCGCACACGGGACAAGACGAGCATGTAGTAGCCCCACAGACCGTGCGGGCCCGGGGTGCATGGCTTGGCCAACGATACACCAACGAGACCACACAAGCATGCAGCAGCGGCCGTGAGTGCGGGCCCGGGGTGCATGGCTTGGCCAACGATACACCAACGAGACCACACGAGCATGCAGCAGCGGCCGCGAGTCCACCGCACAACAGCACTAAACCAGCGCTATTCAGAGTTCGACCAACCGTCATGCCTCTCGGCCGACAATCAAAGCTGAGCGCAGCACATGCGGAGACGTGTTCAACATGTGTCCAGCCAACAAACACGCTCAACTGGTTTGCATGTGAAGCTGGGCGGACCATGGCAGCAGGCTTGCGAGCGTAGTTTGCGTTGGTCTCACCCGACCGAACGGATCACACCGCGGATAGCTTACGGCCGTTGGTTGTCGCCGCAGCACTGTGCACGGCTTGGTCTGAGCAAAGCTGATGTGAATTGCGTTGGGCAGCACTGTGCACGAACCGTGCACGCACACACACACACACACACACCGGGTTGAATAAGGGCTCTCTGCACATGACACATCACTCACGGTGCAGCTTGAGCTGGCACTGAACACGAGCCATGCACGCAAGGTAGGGGGGATACAGTGAGCCATGTATACATGGTAGGATGCCGTATCACTGGCCGTAAGTATCCGACAGCAGGACCACGATAATAACGCGGTCGCCAGGACATGCCGAGGCAAGGACGCCAGCAGACTAGACTAGAGCAGCGTCAGTTGAAAATACGGCCCACCCGCAGCTGTATACAAGCGACA